GTGTAAAAAGAATTATTTATCACGATAAATTTAGCTGTACTATGGTTATTTTTAATCTACGACCACAGGTCAACCTGATTTTTAATCCGTACGAAATTAATTTAACCAGGAGTAAGTAACGAGGACATTGAAACGTAGTTATCCATTGAATAAAGTTATAGAAACGTATAAATGATTCTATGTAGCGTTATAATAGATTGTTGCAAGTAATATATTAATAATAAAATTATGAAAATTAATAATCATACCGTGTTACAACATCATAATAGAAGAACAGAAATTTCCCGCGAAAAGTAATCGGTTTCCCGCGAAAAATAGTCGATTCCCGCCTGACCTAACCGACGATTTTGCTAATGACTTTGGGGAGAGGGTACCGCAGGTATATAAGGACCCGCTGATGTCCCGCGAATTTATTCACCCTTTATACTGGGCCATAGACACTTCGCGGCGTATTTTGACCTGAAGGTTCTGAGATGTGAATAGAGGAATTCGCGTTTTTTCTTTTGATTCTTTCAATTTTTCAATTGCATTACGCATTATTGCAATAATTTCTATCGTTACATTTGTATGTATTCAACGTTTGTTTGTTTTAGTGTCGTGAAATGAATTATATTACACATTTTCTCTATTCACACTGAATTTAAAGATTATAACGATTAAAAATCAAGTTGACCTGTGGTCATTTATCAAGAATAATCATAATAAAGCTGAAATTATTGTGTTAAATAATTTTTTTAATACGAATTAGGAATTTATTCAACGTTTGCTTGTTAGAATAGAACGATAAATTTAGTGTAAATATAGAAAACGTATAATATAATTTATTTCATGGTATTGTAACAAGCAAACGTTGAATAAATTCCTAATTCGTATTAAAAAAATTATTTAACACAATAATTTCAGCTTTATTATGATTATTCTTGATAAATGACCACAGGTCAACTTGATTTTTAATCGTTATAATCTTTAAATTCAGTGTGAATAGAGAAAATGTGTAATATAATTTATTTCATGGTATTGTAACAAGCAAACGTTGAATACATTTTTCATTCGTGTAAGAAGAATTATTTAACACGATAAATTTAGCTGTACTATGGTTATTTTTAATCTACGACCACAGGTCAACCTGATTTTTAATCCCTACGAAATTAATTTAACCACGAGTAAGTAACGAGAACGCTAAAACCTATGTTTCCATTGAAGAATATTGTAAAAACGTATAAATTGTTATATGCAATGTTATAACAAATTGTCGGAAGTATAAATTTTTAATAAAATTGTGAAAATTGATAAATTATACCGTGTTACGATATCGGAAATCTCCCGCGAAAATCTCCCGCGAAAATTTCCCGCCTGACCTAACCGACGATTTTGCTAATGACTTTGGGGAGAGGGTACCGCAGGTATATAAGGACCCGCCGATGTCCCGCGAAATCATTTACCCTTTATACTGGGCCCTAGACACTTCGCGGCGTATTTTGACCTGAAGGTTCTGAGATGTGAATAGAGTGGTCGGGGGCTACTAGCTAGTCTATGTCCACCCTGTACACACTCAGCCTTCTTGTAACACTTGTATACATTAGAATCAATTAGAATTTCTATTACTAATTATTAAACAAATTTTAACAATTACCGGCACTCGCTAGGCACGTAATATCAGACTTTAAATACTCGACTTCGAACTTCGGTTTAGTCATAATTCTATTAATGTTATAATAACGTATAATTTATTAATTTTCACAATTTTATTATTAATTTATACTTCCAAAAATTTGTTAAAACATTACATATTATTATTTATACATTTTTGCAAGTTTCTTTGACAAATAAGTACGTTTCAACGATCTTATTACTTTCTCGTTGTGAAATCAAGTTCGGAGGATTAAAAATCAGGTTGACCCTTGGTCGTAAATTTAAAATAGCCATAGTGAAGGTGAAATTATTATTTTAAATAAATGTTTCTATACGAATTAAGAATCTATTCAACGTTTGTTTGTTGCAATACCGTGAAATAAATTGTATTATATATTTTCTCAGTTTCGACTGAATTTAAAGTTCGTAAGGATTAGATATCAGGTTGACCTGTGGTCGTAGATTAAAAATAGCCATAGTGAAGGTAAAATTATTACGTTAAATAATTGTTTTTATACGAATTAAATATTGATTCAACGTTTATTTGTTGCAATACCGTGAAATAAATTGTATTATATATTTTTTCTGTTTACACTAAATTTAAAGTTTTGTTTACATGTTATAACAATTAGAATGTAGACGTTTTGCCGTTTCACGGTTTTTCCTCTGTTAATTATGTGTTTATAAATCATTTCAAACTAAAGCAGCACCATGCCCACCCTTAATTAAACCGTCTCAGTAGTTTACCGTAATTAATAATCTGTTTTCGGAATTTATACGAGAATTTTTGAATTTTAGTAAATACTAGAGTCAGTGCATCCTGTATTGAAATAATAGCTTCATTCCTAGTTCGTTTATTATTGAATATGTTTACGCGTTTAACTTATGCTTCTCCCCAATTCTCGTCGCGTATTTTATTCAAATTTTCTTATATTCTAGAATCGAAAAAGATACGAATTCGCGTTTTTTCTTTTGATTCTTTCAATTTTTCACTCTCGTTCTACGAAAGTTTACTTCAATAATAATATTGAAAATTTTTCTGGTGATTTGGTTTTGTAGTTAGTTGTGTTGTGGATTGCTAGCTCAAATATGAGCTGCTTAATGTATATGCTTAAAATGTATTTTTTTGTGGCTGCCTGACAGCAACCTGTAAATCTGGCGCGACAGTGAACGTGTTAATAAGTAAATGTTGTTCAAATTATGTCGTGTTTTATGTCATTTTCATCAGAAAAGTCTCGTCAATATGTTAAGAAAAATTTCGGGATAAAAAAACGTAAAATTAAAAAAGTTGATATCTAAATCGCTTGGTTGCCTCGATCTTTAATTCGTTGTCCTTGTCTACGTTCGGAAAACTACAAAGGCGGGCGCGAGGCTCGAAAACGTAGTCCCTGACTCTACAAGTGTCAGGTTTAGCTTCCTTGCGGTCTGACACTTGTGGAGAATATACTGTAATATAATTTTTAGCGAATTCTTTATGGACGACTATAGTCGCCGTTAGTTCACAGCGAGCGTCCAGCGATGGACTATAGCCTCCCTTTGTTCAGAGCGAGCGTCCAACCATGAACTACAGTCCGCTTTAGTATCGAAAGGGTCAAGGATCCACTCGGTACTAGAAATATTCTGAGACACCCGATAGAGATCTAGCAGCTAATAATCGTGTGACATATAGATCTAACTTTGCAAGGGTATATGACAAAGAGCATTCTCGTATTCCTAGGTGTCTGGCCTTTGAGAGATCGTGACTCAATTGGTACTCGTCGATGTAGGAATTTCTGATCGCTAACGTGAGATGAATCACATCGATTCCGCCCGCGGTACACACTCTCCGCGAGATTCCAGCGGTTCCTGTACCTTGCTTGGTGTCCTGTCGAGGAATCATCGACGCTGGCGCGGACATTGTACGTTTGTAGGGCCATTTCGTGCCGAAACTAGCGCTCAACGTCTTTATAGAGTTCGTTCCGCTTCCGTCCGATTGCGACAGGGCTTCCTGAGCTCTGTGAAGCTTCTTCATGAAGATCTCGCTGTTCAGATCCGTGTTTCTGAGATCTGGGAACCAGATTTTGTCTATAAGTTAAATTTGTTGGATTACTTTTACATTACGGACATTACGTAGTTTCGTTAGATTGTGAACTGACCACGTAGACCTGGTATGTCGCCAGATCTCTCTAGATTGATCTGCGCCTCCAGGAATAGAGCGTCGAAACGATTTAGAAAGAATTCCCAGGTGAGGATGTGTCTGTCGCTGAGACTGTTGTGCAGTTGGTAGAGCGATTGCAGTACCATTGGACGATCCACTATCACAGAATCGAACTGGGTCTCCAAACAGAGGATCAGAGACTGGAAATGTTATGATTCGTTGAGCAACGGTGAAACTGTTCGACGAATCTGACGATTTTGCGCGTGTGACTCACTCTCATAGCTGTGTCGTGAATGGTACCGAGGTATAGCGTGGCTCTCTGAGCAACGTAAACGTTACTGTCGTCCATGCTGGCGATTAGGTAGCAGAACGCATTCGCCAAGGCAGCTTGCAGACTCATTACGTTCCTCAGAGGAGTGGAATCCATGAATCTAGCCATCAGCGTGACCCTTTCGACTGTTCGATATTGATCAGTTAAGAAGATGAATTGAAAATTATGAAATGAAATTTAAAAAATTAAGAAATTCATTTTCTTGAAAGTTGAGATTTTCATACCTGCTACGAATCGAACACGCCAGTCTGAATTGTGGAATTCTTCCTGAATCAGACGCCAGAAGGTGTCTGTTCCACATGGTAGAGTGACACAGTGGAGCAGTAACGGCACTGTGACTTGAGCTATGTGAGAATGCTCAGCATTGAGGAGTTCCCAAAGACTGTAGAAATGGAAAAGTTTTCAGATCAAGTTAGACAACGTATCCGATTGAGAGTATTTCCTATCAAGATGCAAAGAATACCTGATATTTTGATCTATCTGAAAGTTAGAGAAGTGATTAGTCTCCTATAAAAATATCTTGGGTGAGAAAGTGGGGGGAAAGTGTCTTCGGTGGTAAAATTCTGGATAATTTCAGTAGCACGTATGAAACTTAATAAAACCGAAATTCTTACTTTTTTATTAGTAGATTCTCTTGACACCATATGAAGAATCCTTGGTGATCCTTCACCGCGATATTAAAGGCATCTCCGTAGAGACACATCACGTTTAAACATTGAAGCATGTAGTAGAGTATATCGGCCTTGTCTATCGCCATTATCTCCTGCGAATCGAGAAAGATTAATCTTCCGTGCTATCTTTTTTATCAATAAATATCGTACCTTCAGGAGTTTGTGTATGTACTGAAGTTGTTCGGGAAGTTCGTCGATATTGAAGCGAAACTTTCCAACAGAGGTGTGCCAGAAATCGTCTGCCTCGTTCTCTGGACTGAGATTCAACGGTTGATCATTTTCCCCTATTAATCTCGGCTTTGCCACGCTCACTGTTGCCGTGGCTGAAACAGACATTTAATGTTCACTGAGAATTGAATTCGTCGAAGGGGATTAACCTGGGAGTTGGTCAGACAGTCGACCTGCAATTCTGTCACGTGTCGAAGTAGAATGTGTCGGGATATGGTCAGACGTCGAGCGCCCTATTCTTCTTTACGGAACTAATTTATCTGATCATGAATGAAACATTACTGTGATTTTCACAAAATTTCACAAGTTGCATTATCGAAGGTGAAGCTTTCAGTATTTATTTTTTAATGCCCAAAAGTCACGAGAAATATTTTATTTGATCTAATAGTGAATCAGACATTATTGCGATCTTCGCAAAATTCCTGAAGTTGCATTGTGAAAGTTGAAGCTTGCAATATTTTACTTTTTAATGCCCAAAAGTCTCGAGAAATATTTGATTTGATCTAATAGTGAATCAGACATTATTGCGATCTTCGCAAAATTCCTAAAGTTGCATTATGAAAGTTGAAGCTTCTAATATTTGATTTATTTTAGTATCAGTGTTGCGCTCGAAGTTGAGCAATTATTTTTCGTTGGATTTTATTTGATGGAAATTGACGATATCAGAGGGTAGAGTGAAATTAGGCTAATTCCTCACCTACGTCAGTCTCCGAGAGGGTGACTGCTCTCGCGACAGCTGACTTGACCTTCTCTGGAGGCATGATAGCTGCAAGGTCCAGCTGCTCCGAAACTGTCTCTACTGTGGCTGTCATGATCTGTTCGAAGAACTGATATAAACGATCAAAATAGCTACCTCCGGCGACATAGATTAGCCTACCGTGTCAAGTGGTCACACAACGCCATTTCGCAGTGGAAGAAGAGAGACAGAGAGAGGCACACACAGCTTTGTTTTTTGCTTACTTTTTTTTTTTGTTTTTTTTTAGACGAACAGCATGCTGCGTATTATTTTGTTGTTGATGTTGTTGTTGCGGAAGAGAAGTGTTACGCACAGAGAGGATAGATAGAAAGACGCTGTGTCTCTTAGGCGGTGTAACAAGTTCGTGTATATAGATAGAGAGAGAACATCTCAAAATTTGTCCATAAACTGAAGGATTATGTGTTTCTGTTGAGACGTACCTGAGGCATGTGAGCGAGAACACCACCGACTGAATGCATTTCAGCTACAGGCATATTGATCGCTACGTCTGACTTGGAGTCTCCCTTTCGCGATGCCTCTGGACTCTTGCGGCCGTGATCTTCCGCGGTTTCGTCCACGATTTTCTGGGAGAATTGGGAAATAAAGTTCAGAGAAATTCGGGGGATTTGTTTTTTATCTTCTGGAATTTGAGAACTTGGGAGTTGAGAATTTGGACGTTGAATAGAGGGAGAATTTTGGAGATAGAGGGGAAAAACTGACGCGGAGAGTAGTGAATTTAAAACTTTGAAAAGTGGGAAAATTTTAACTCTGGAGCAGTGAATTTAAAATTTAGAAAAGTGGGAAAATTTTAACTCTGGAGCAGTGAATTTAAAATTTAGAAAAGTGGGAAAATGTTAACTCTGGAGCAGTGAATTTAAAATTTAGAAAAGTGGGAAAATTTTATCTCTGGAGCAGTGAATTAAAAATTTAGAAAAGTGGGAAAATTTGATCTCTTTTGACATGGAAAGTTATAGCTTTGCTGAGACAGAGTTTTGATCTCTGGAAGTTGAAGAATGTGCGGAGAATTTTTCTGCGGTGTAAAATTCCGAATTTTAGAATCTGGAAGAATATTTCAAAATCATTGTTTGAGGAACTCACGTCAGGTGGATAGGCCGGATTTTCAGGCGCCATATAAGTAAGCAATTGCAGACACAACTGATGCCACATTACTCTGGATTCACAGTAGGTACACTCGCTGTTTGTATTGCAGATGTGACAGCTGTTCCAATTCGAGGCGACGATAGACTTCATCAGTCGACATGCGTCTCTGCACACCCACGTGTTGATCCCTGTATGCTTATCTATATTCTGCAGCTCCATCTTCAATATTTTATCATTAAAATCTTTATTCCATCGACCAACCGTAAAAGAAACTTGATATTTCTCAAATATAAAATTTCGTATACCTGTTTCAACAATATATCGAGCATAAGTATACAGCAAGATAAATTCAACTCTGCATTCGTCATAAATTCCATGTGTCGTGGTATTGGAACCACGTCGTCAGACAATGGCGTCGATTTTCCTGTTTCATTTTCCACCACTGAACCTACACAGATCGTTGTACCCTCCGAAATTATTCAATTCAAAAATTCTAATCTAAAAATTCACAAAATTTCGCCTTACATATGGTGTTTCCTTCTTCGTCCTCTTTCTTCGTCCCTTTGCTAGGCTTCTGTTCAGACTCTGCAGTGTTCATGGCTCCCATAACGGACACACCGTCGCTGAACATGCAGAACAGTTGACACAAAGGTATACTGATCTCTAGCATAGTCAAGGTTTGCAGCCAATTCAGAGCTTGCTCTTGCACCTTTGCACAGGTGTTGACGAATCTTATTGCCACGAAGTTGTACATCTTCTTGGCGTCGAAACCTAGAGGACTCATGTCTCTGTCGAGGATTTTGCTGGAATTGAGGATGGAAGAATTTTTAGTGGTGTGTTTGATTCGAGATTGAGGTTTCGTTTCGCAGTACCTTAGGATCATTTTTAACTCGTGGAGCTCGTACTCAGGGACGTCGTTCACCATGGCCTCCATCCAGTGGGGCATCACGTAGTCCCAAACGTCGGGTGTGATTACTTCGTAAGGTACGAGACAGAAGAGGCGGTCTAGGCCGTCTTTTAGGTGTGACGTTCTCGAGGCTAGCGTTTCCCTTGAAAAGCAACGAGTGGAAAAGTTGCGAATGGGGTGGGAATGGCTTCGTTAATTTTAATTTCGATTAAATTGAAAATTTGGAATTTAAGAATTGAAGGAAATTAAATATCTTGAATTTTAGAATTAGAGAAGGTTTGAAATTGAAAATTTAAATATCAAGTTTATAATCGAAAATTTAAACATTGGGAACTTTAGAATTAAAGGGAATTGAAAATTGAAAGCTTTAAAATCAAAGAGAATTTAAAATCGAGAGCTTTAAAATTAAAGAGAATTTAAAATCGAAAGTTTTAAAATTAAAGAAAATTAAAAGTCTCAAATTTAAATATCAAAGATAGTTTAAAGTTGAAAATTTAGAAATTAAAGGAGATTTAAAGTCGAAAATTTAAAAATTGCAGTAAGTTTAAAATTAGAAATTTAAAAATGAAAGAACATTAAAAATCGAAAGTATTTAACTTAAAACAATTTTCAGTCGAGAATTTTCTAACTTCAATTTCAATACCAGTGTCCACCAACTCGAACATAGTCCGCCGGATGCGGCAGAAGGCAGGAAATGAAGACGTCATAGTGTGTCTTCATCACTTCTGCTAACCATCCACAGACATATTCAGTTTTCAATTTTTCCAAAGCGCTCTCTGCTTGCCCTATATCGACAAATCACCAAAAATCACACTACCCTTCTCCGACAACCATTTCTCAAAGGGTGTTGGGAATGTCACGTTAATCAGACTAATCGTACAAATCTTGTCTTCCCAAAATCCGCGTTTTCTTCAATGAAAATTATACAAAAGCGTAACTTTGGACGACACAACAGATACAAGGGGACATTACGAAGCTGATTGAGTCTGTGTTAGCAGTGTTGTTTCAGTAGCATGCTTAAAAATCATCGAAGAAATTTAGAAAAATTTCATCTTCGGGAAATCGCGTTCTAATTGTTTCTCTTTTTTTTTTAATTCCCGACAGGGTATCACTACTTCGATGCATAGAAACTTTAACGAAACGCTCTTTCCTCTTTTCTACAAGTAGAAAAATTCAATTGAAACATTGTCCATCGTTTTATCGTCGAAATTCCGTGGTTCTATGCATCGATCGCTAAGAAATTCGTTCAGCCGCGACGCAGACGCACTCTTGTTCCTTCTTTCTGAAAATTCAAGCTTCCGTGTTGTTCAACGATAGCTCGTGTGTGTTGCATGCACACGCAATAGCAACATCTCCTCTGGAATGTGTACGCGAAAACGCACAGGCGTCAACTTGGCGGAAATGTTCTCAACAAGATTCAAATCTCAACTCTATCTACTGGATAAGAAAATTCTAAATACCATCAAGCTACTAGATAATGTAACAATGAGAAAAGAAGAATGAAAATACAAATTGTACATACACATTGTGTCGAATTAAAAGAAGCCATATTTAATTAAGCTCTCGAACGGTAGCTAGAGAAAGCTGACGCCTCTGCAACGAGAGAGAGAGAGAGAATTGTATGTAAAAGTAACATCGAATACATTGATTTACTGGTAGAATTTCGCATACACCAACAGTCCAAAGAATTTAGAGATAGAAAACAGAGGGGTGACAGAAATAAAGCTATTCATTTTGGAGAAGTGTTTGACGATTAAGCTTTGGATAAACACCAACGAGACAAGTGTGTACACCAATGAATGTCTTTTACCCCAGCAGAGAAATCTTTCTTGTTTCCTTTCTTTCTCACCTACCACTTTGTCTTCTGTTCTATGAATATATCTTGTGGAGAATGTTCGAACGGTGAATATAGTTGTTGTTAAATGTGAAACTAGCGGAGAGACAAGGTGGAAGAGGAAGCAAGAAAACGAATAGAAGTTGGCGATTCACTCGAATGTGCCTACGATCGCGGCCATTGACTACCTACGTCTAGTGATGGGCCCGAGACGCTCCGAATCGCTTCAGGTAGCAATAGTTCAAGCCTTCGGTCGCTTCGAATATCGTTAAAAAACAAAATCAACACTTAGAATTCGAGAGAAATGAGAAAAGAAAGTGCAGTATTCGATTATATTCCAGTTTGCAAACTAAGTCTTCGTCTGTAACTCTGATTCGTTAATTGAACAATATGAAAATTCGAAAGGAATTTGATTCGGTGATATTCCAATTTGCAATATAAATCTCCTTTTCCAAATTTGATTCGTTAATCGAGCAATGCGAAAAATTCGAAAGAAATGAGAAAAGAAGTACAGTGATTCGGTGGTATTCCAATTTGCAACATAAATCTCCTTTTTTTTTTTTAACTTTGATTCGTTAATTGGATAACGTGAAAAATTCGAAAGAAACGAGAAAAGAAATACAGAATTCGATGATATTCCAATTTGCAAAATGAATCTTTTCCAACTCTGATTCCTCGATTAAGCAATATGCAGAATTCCAAAGAAGAAATGTACTCGAAGCGACACAAAACGCGTCGAAGTCGTTCCACCGCCCATCTCTCAGCCTACGTTTTATAATCTCATCTACGTTCTACGTTCATTAAGTGTATAAATATGCGAAGTGTTAAATTACCAACAGAAAAGATAAGGTGCATAAGGCTTTTTTTAGTACCATCGAAACAGTAGGCAGTAACATGAAACCAATGAAATAGCATTGACAATAAACGGCCGAGTATTTCGATCGAGGTGTCTTGATTAGGGGTGCAAAGCCCAACCAGCAGCCAGACACCGTATCTTCCAAGCAGTTGTCTCTCCTCGAGCGTGGCCGAATCGAACTGTCCACCACTTCCGGTACCACCAGCACCGCTTCCGCCACTCCCTGGGAATCCTGTGCTGCCCTTATTAGTACTTATTTCCGAGACCTCTCGGTTACTATCCATACTTAGCTGTTCAGCTTCCTTAAGCAGGCTGCAAGTAGAGAGGACAAATGGTTAGGGGAGTGGTGGACGCGATCTGTGGCCACGTTCGGTTATGGTCGGCTTAATTGTTCAACAATTTTTTCTGGGTTTCAGATTTTGGAAAAAAGTTGTTCGAAGTGATTTTTTTATGGAGATCGACGTTGTCGGGGATAGAGGTCGCTTGGAATCGTTGGACAGTGGTTTTTGGGGTAATTGTGAATTTAATTGCGGCGCGAACTGACTTCCAATTCGGATTCATTTTGTAATTGGTGTAATTTAGCGATTGGAGTTTGAAAGTAGGGGATTAATTTTGGAATTTGAAAAAAATAAGATTAATTTTGTAATTTACTGTTTGGAATTTAAAAATATGGGATTGATTTTGTAATCAGCGATTGGAATTCGAAAATATGGGATTAATTTTGTAATTTGTGACTGGAATTCGAAGATACGCGATTAATTTCGAAATTCTTTGAAATTTTCCCAACAATTCCAAGCGACTCGGAAAAATAAAAGTTCACGGAACATCGAAGAGTCTCAGCTTCCACGTTCAATGGCGGTCCGAATTCCTCCACGATCTCGTCTATCTTCGCGGTCACGCTCCGCGAAATATCGAAACAGGCTATACCATAGCGTATCGTAAAAATTCGTGTAATAGCGCGGATCGTGAAAAATTTCAGACTAGTATATATTAAATAATGATAACGTCGATCCACTATCGACGCATATTTCCCAAAAAAGTACCAAACTACTCAGAAAATCCGATTAGTTCACGTCAACCACAACGTCTTCTAGTTCGAACATAGCTCCAGATCGTGCGTACAATAAGAAATTATATCGATCGATTGAACCGTATAATAGAACGATATCTCTCTCGGATGAATGTCCAAAGAATTCTTATTACTCAAGTGGCAAGTTGAACAATTGAATACAATTCAGTGTTCTAGCTACGGGGGGGTTCATGCCATTTGCAATGTCGAAACTACGTGCAATAATCAGTGTGATTGATCTTCCAATTTCTTATCAGTTTCATATAAAAAATAATAAAATAAATTCGTATGAAAAGTCGAGTTACAATTCTATATCAGAAATATTAAAAATACAAGAAAAATAGGAAAATTTGACGAATGGTGTCCCGTTAAAATGGTGTTTTCTGTTCATGCAGCATACCAGTGTGTCTCGGGTAATGGGTATCTATTCAAGCCTGCACCGGTGGCTCCGTTTTTATTCGCGGAACGGTACCGGGTGCTGGTGTGTCGTTATCCAGGACGTGATACGCCGTGGTGTCCTCGCAATGCAACTTTTAAGGTGCACTTTTCCTATGCTCTCTACTGTGAGGCTGTGGTGCTTCTGGGTGTCACGTGTCATTCGCTTGTGGACAACTCGAAGAAAAACTTGTCGTACGCCGGTAAACCCATTCCAGCTTCGAACCATCTCGAGGCAGAGAATTTTCGAGGCGACCTCGGTGCCCCACTTTCACGCTAAACGCTTCCTGATCGACTAGGGGCACTGTGGTGCGGCTGGATTTGTCGTGACTGAGCGTGCATTGTCGGTGGAAGCGTTTAAAATGGAAATCTTTGCGTTTTTTTTTTTGTGTGTGCGTTTTTGAATGACACTTTTGGGAATTTTCGAGTGAGACGTTGTGCAGCTTTGGGTCCTCAAAGTTCCATTTCAGGATTTTGGAGTCTTTTAGAAATGGAGATTTTCTAATTTATTTTTCCTTTTTTGGGGAGATATTTTGAGTCCTTTGGGCCCTCAAAGTTTCATTTTAGAATTTTTAAATTTCGATAAATTTGGAGTCTTTTAGAAATGGAGATTTATTAATTTATTTTTCCTTCTTTAGAGAGATATTTTGAGTCCTTTAGGCCCTTAAAATTCCATTTTATGAATCTTTAAATTTCCCCGAATTTTGGAATCTTTTAAACATCGAGATATCTCATTTCTTTCCTCCCCTTTTTGGGGTGTTTCGAGTCCTTCGTGTTCTCAAAGTTCCATTTTACAATTTCGACGAATTTTCGAATCTTTTAAAAATCCAGATTTTTCATTTCTTTCTTTTCTTCGTGGGCTCGGAGAATCGTTCGAAGCTCGATGGTCCTGGCGCATGTGACGGACCGAGATGTCTGCCAAACGACTGTTTAGTATAATAAAACAAACACAAAAGATGAATGTCCACTTAGAATATTGCAATAAGCGACATCTCGATCCTTTTCGTGAATAATCAGAAACAATATATGGAGCATCAATGAATCACGTTCAATGGAATTCAATTAATCCTACGAATTATTTATACATCTAAAATTATAGTAAAACAGCTTTGAAGAGATCCGTTGAACGTGATCACAGCAAAATGTCTTACCAAGCAGGATGGACCAGCACGAACAAACACGCAAAGCAACAATGATCCTGCGATCATTCGTTAGTACGCGTTATCGTGTTTCTTTCGAACATATCGAAGGTTGAACATCATGGTCAGTGATTAACAACCATCGTTAGGATGCGACCTGTTACGTTGCTGGATAAAAATTAGCTCTTCCGTTAGGCTACTCTAACTTTCATTCACGTATTTCCTTTTTTGCTTCTTCTTTTTAAATCGCCGATCAACAGAGTAAGAGCAATATTATAAATATCGATAAGAGGAAAGACTCTAATTGAACAAAAAAAAAAAAAAAAATTATGGTCGCGATCTGTGGGTTGGTAAACACGAACGTCAATCAAAAAACATTTCTGTCGCAAAAAAGGACTTCGACATCGACGATACGCTAGAGCCAAGACACTCTTAACTCTTTATCAGTGAAAATAATATCCAAAACCTTTTTTCCACATTTTATATCAAACCTTTCGTTGCTGCAAGATTTTAATACAGAATCTTATTTTAGTCGCATCGTTTTCAAATTTATTTCATTAAATTAAGGTAGAAGCCTAGGAAGGAAAAAAATTGAAGGATTGAATTTGATGAAAATACGCCAAAAGGCGCGAACAGCTGAAATTTTCAGCCCGAACCAGCAATGAAAGGGTTAAATAAAAATTGTCAAGATTGACAGAAAATTTTCAAATTCGTCGAGAACCCATCACACCTTCAATTCCACCGAGTCTCTTGCCTCCAGTCGCGACAAAGTCTCATGAAACTCGTGCAAATCACAACGTCTGTGAGTGTCCCTTGTCCCAAACCATTGTCCCTCCCCTGTTCCTGTATCTTTCAAACGTTAAGCGGTAGATCTCTCAGCAGATAGAGCACAGTGTCAGAATCCAGGTGTCTTACCTGACTATAGCCTGCACCATGTACGTCTGCGTCTGAGAATCCAATTGCGAGATGTGCGGTAAAGCCATGTGATACACGTGATCACCACCTCGATGAATATTGTGTCGAATGTTGTGACACTGTTGGCAATAGCGAATCGGGTGGTTTCCGTTGTAACTGGTGCATTCCGCGGAGAAACACACGCTTATCGCTGATTTATCCGTTGCTCTGCAGTTCTAATATTTTTTGGAAAATTAACCAAACTGAATTTCTAAGTGTCTTTAATTGAAAAATTGAAATCATTAATTTAGTATCGTTGTAAATAATCCGTAGAAAATTCGTCAGAGTTTGAAATCGAAGTTGTCCAGTTGGAACATACCTTATTTTCGCAAATCATAGACACCTGTTGCGTAGGATGGAGAATATGGTAGAACGTTTGATCCGTGTGTTTCCTCTGTATCTCATTAGCGCATTCGATGCAGAGATAGAGGGGCGGAGGTGTCTCCGTGGCAAACGCGATGGATATTCGATGATCGTAGCAGACTTTGCCAGCTTCGGCGTTGCCTGCGTTGGGACAAGAGTCTCTCTGACAGACGAACGGCGCCAGATCATCTGAAATTGCACTTCAATTGACTCCGGATGAATTGAAACTTCGTCGACGTCTTGGAACAATGTTTGAATCGAAATTTGTTAAAATTTTGGAGAAAGACACACTTGCAAATTTGACTAGAACAGCTCTTCGATCGAAGAGATTAGGGTTGAACGATGGCCAGTAGTAGAAGAGCAGTTTAGCGGCCGAAGCTCTGGCTGGTGCAGTGCCATAAGCGACCACGCAGAGGATGTCCTTCACCACGCCTGCTTTTAACGCCATTAGACACTCCAGTAATTGACAATGGTGTGCTAGATGACAAAGAAATTTAATTTTCAATTCCATTATTTCTATATTTTCGTTGCAGTAGGAATCAATCAATCCTCAATTTATTTTAATAATATTGTATTCGGGAGAAAAGGGTTGAAATGCAAATTTCCTTCGTTGCAAACGTATATTTGAGAAAAATTGCAACCTGGATTGGTAGAATACTGGAAGATCATCATGATAACCGCGGCTATCGACTGACTAGCTGCATTTTCACTTCCGTCCTCAGTCTTTCTTGCTGCAATACACACAAAAATATATTCCCAACGATATTCAAATTTTACTACACATATTTTACGAAATTCGTGTATTTGAACACTCGCCAATGGTGAACGGAAGAATGTAGAAGCAAAGGTAGTTAACGATGTCCTGATGCAGCTCTACTGGAAGCACGGAGATCAAGCTGGCAGTCAAATAGGGCACGTTGTCGATCAGATCGTGATCCAGAAACGGTAGCAGACACGCGAGACATTGTAACAAAGCGTGACCAAACGCTGAAACGTGAATTTTTCGTTGCACATCATCGATTAAGGGGTTCATTTCACTCTGGATAAAATAGAGAATTGGATGAAACCTTGTAGACCAATGTGAATATTGGGAACAACGTCGATCAGCTGTGTGAGGGCGTTGTACAGTTGCTTGTACTCTAAATTTGGGTAACAGGCCATTCGTTCCGCGTCGGACTTCTGCACTTTGACCATTTCTAGCGGAGCTTTTTGCACTTCTTTCAACAAAGCTGGTGATATGAAAGTGGAAGGAAAGAATTGATAATAAATCCTTTTAGAAGAATGTCGATAAAAAGATGGATTCGGAGACTTACACAGCAACATTTGTGAGAAAGACTTCACCGTGTTTGCCATATCGAGGCCAGAAGGTACAGGCTGACTACCGTGAAGAAGTCTTTGATAGTAATCGTGGAGACTTGTCAGTTTCAACGAGTCTGTGAAAAAGAAATTTTGTGAATTGCAACTTTTACCAGAGTAGTTATATCGTATCCTGTGAAGAAGTTCATTTATTCATGGAAGAGATTTGTATTCTTTGTACTCACATGCTGCTGATCTTGTCCCCATTTTGAATATTCTTCGCTCAACTATGTCTCGAAAATTCCTTATTCTTCGTTGAAACGAAACGTTGACGCAGAAGATTGAAACGACACAGATATGAGAACTTTTTCGTTACATCACGATCGACACTGTACACTTCTTTCTTTCACTTGTTCATGTTTTTATTTATTCGATAGCTGTCGTTTGGATAGAGGAGGCGAAACGAGAGACACCTTTATTTGACATCCTTTCTAGCTACAGAATCAGCGCTGGTCCATTCCAGCAGACATATCAGTGAAGAATGAGCGCGCACGTATCGACCTGTTTGGGAACGCGAAGCGCCATCTCATCCTATCATCCCCTTCCGGGATGTAGGCGAGTTCCCGGGAAAATCCAACCGAGCCGACGAGATTTTCACTGGGTCTGTTTAAACCGGTGTTTTCTGTCGCTTCGCTCTTAATTTTGGGAGAAATTTGGTTTGAGAATTCTTTGGAGGACTAGGTTTTCCGAGTGTGAGAGTTAGTGGAGTTGGTGTTCGATGTTTCGATGGACATTTTATTGGAAATCTCTTTCGAATGAATTTTTTTTTATTTCTTATCTGAGTGCAGAGTACAGTTGCATTTTTTTTTAACGTTTTTCTGCGGTTTTCTATGAAATTTGGGAGAAAATTTCGTTTGGAAATTCTCTGGAGGTCTCATTTTTTATAGTCTAAGACCCTCCCGCCACAACTCCAGCGACTGCCGTTGGTTTATGTTACACATTCTGCGTGTTCGTACGGCACAGTGGGGGAACCTCGGGAGGGGAAATTTGCTCGTGAGCAAGAAGTTAAGCGGCTCTGGTCTAAGAGTTGGTGGAGTTGGTCTCTGATGTTTCAGTGGAAATTCAATTGAAAATCTCGTTCGAATGAATTTTTAAAAATTTTTTATCTAAGAGTAGAGTACAGTATCGATTTTCTGTGGTTTTCTATTAAATTTGGGAATAGATTTCGTTTGAAAATCCTTTGGAGAACTCATTTTTTAGAATCTGAGGGTTGGTAATGTTGATGTTCGATGTTTCAGTGGAAATTCGATTGAAATGAATTTTTTTTAAATTTCTCATCTAAGTGTAGAATACAGTGGCATTTTTTAAACTAATTTTCTATTAAATTCGGGAAAAATTTCGTTTGAAAATCCTTTGGAGAACTCATTTTTTAGAATCTGAGGGTTGGTAATGTTGATGTTCGATGTTTCAGTGGAAATTCGATTGAAATGAATTTTTTTTAAATTTCTCATCTAAGTGTAGAATACAGTGGCATTTTTTAAAGTAATTTTCTATTAAATTCGGGAAAAATTTCGTTTGAAAATCCTTTGGAGAACTCATTTTTTAGAATCTGAGGGTTGGTAAAGTTGATATCTCATATTTCAGCGAAAATTCAATTGAAAATCTCGTTCCACTAAATTCGTTTTTATTTCTTATCTAAGTGTAGAGTACAGTGGCATTTTTCCAACAAATTTCTTTTAATTTTTGACAAAAATTGTTTACAAGAAATGTTAGTATAATATGAACATAGGAATGAAAGTGATTCAGTTGTATTTAAAGTCTGTTTTTCAAGATTTTCACTTGCCGATAAAACTGCTTAGCAGAGAGTTGGCTGAAACACATGTTCACCTGTCCGAGAGTTCATTCTGTCCAGCATGAAATCGGATCCATCTACCAATGCCCGTTAAACGACAGTTATGTCATCGTGCAACGACGGAAAGTCGTCTCAAGACGTGTTATGCAATACGCTTCCTTGCGATTACATAACCCCCGATCGCATGATGCATAATATCATTATCCCTGATCCAATAAGCTGCAATTACTCTTTTTAAGAGATTACCGTGCCGCGAACAATTTACGATGGCGCTGCATTCATAAACCGAGGCATTCTGAATGCGTCACTTGTTATCGTTGCTTTGTTTGAAAAAATACCTTTCGAAGTATCGATAAGATAATATTATACGGTGTTGCCGAAAAATTTGAAATTCAACTCGAACTTTGGATCTTCGGATTCCTGCAGTTAAACACTTTCGAGTTTTTATTAAGAAAAGTGTATCGTATCTAAATTTGCTGATCAATTTTATTTTAAAAGATTATTCTCCGAGGCTTATCGATTTTATTTTTAAGAAATTATTTTTAAAGCTTATCAATTTTACTCTGAAAAAAATGATTTCCTAAGGCTTCCCAATTTTCCTTGGTTTGCAATTAATTTTAAAATCGATTTCCTTCGTTTGCAATTAATTTTAAAATAGATCACCTTCGTTTGCAACCAAATTGAAAATTATTCCTTTACCACTTATTAAAAAAACAAAGGAATGCATTTGTTTCTTAATTTCAAAGTAGATTCCCTTCGTTTGCAATCAGATTGAAAATTATTCCTCCGTTACATATTAGAAAGAAAACGAATTCCCCTCATATTCGAGTCATCACCTGTCCCAAATTTTCCCCGATCGATCTACGAATAGATCTTTTCCTAATTTGAAATTTAAAGAGTTTCTCGTTTGACATGCGGAAGA